CTTTTCATATTATTTTAATGATACTGATAACGAAGTATGGTACTTATTGTTATAACGGTACTCAATGACCATTTTTGTATTTTTGATGAATTAATGAATATATAAACAGGTCTGGGTACTTAGTACAACCAATAATAAAGGAAAAAATACTTTGCCTTCCTTTGCTATTATTAGTTCTTGCATACGTATTCTTTAGAGTTGCATTTCTGAGAGGTTCCTAGAGACTTAGGCAGATTTGGATACTCATGGTTTCCTAACTACTAAAACAAGAAGGGCCTAAAAACTAACTAAAAACGAGAAGAGCCTAAAAACTAACATAACGTCAAACAGAATGCTTCTCTGCCTGTGTTTATGGGACTTTTCTGGAATGGATTTTTTACAAAACCTTTGTATTACAGAAAACTTCAGCTATGTAAAGTAGTAGAGAGAAGAGTACCATGTTTTGCTTTTGTTTTTTGAGATGGAGTCTCACTCTGTTGCCCAGGCTGTAGTGCAATAGCATGATCTCAGCTCAATGCAACCCCCACCTGCTGGGTTCAAGTGATTCTCCTGCCTCACCCTCCCAGGTAGCTGGAATTATGCCCTCCCCGCCACCATGCCCAGCTAATTTTTTGTATTTTTAGTAGACATGGGGTTTCACCATATTGGCCAGGCTGGTTGGTCTCAAACTCCTGACCTCAGGTGATCCACCTGCCTCAGCCTCCCAACGTGCTGGGATTACAGGCATGAGCCACCGCACCTGGAGGAGTACGATGTTTTCAAAGCCCAGCTTTAACAATGATCAATTCATGGGTTTGTAAACACACCCAATTAATGATACATGCATACTGGGTTATTTTGAAGATACTTTGATATATCATATTTCATTCATAATTATTTTATTATGAAAATCTAAAGTATAGTGGCTTTTTAGAAGCATAACAGCAATGCCATTACCACACTAAAATGAAATAATCCATTAACATAGACGGTGTCAGTTTTTCTGATTGCTTCACATAAATTTGGTTGATATATTTCTTCAGCCTTTTAAAAATGTATAGCTTCTTCTCCCTCTCTCTCTCTCTCTCTCTCTCTCTCTCTCTCTCTCTCCCTCCCTGAATTGTTGCCGAAGAAATGGAGTTGTTTATCTAATGTAAGTTTCATATTCTGGATCCTGTTGGTTGCATACCTGTGGTGTCATTTGCTGTGGGATTTGTTAGTTGGACTCCAGGAAACAACAATAACACCAGTTGTTAACACCTATTGACTACTTACTATGTGCCACTCTGTGTATGAAGTGCTTCATTTGTAATAAAATGTTTAATTCTTCAAATCCCTAGTTTGTATGTGGTAAGTACAAACCTGAAATATTTCATGTGATTTTTAAAATTTATAAATGTTATTTATTTATTTTTAGAGATGGGCTCTTGCTCTGTTGCCTAGGCTGGAACAAGCGCAGTGGCACAATCCTAGCCCACTGAAGACTTGAACGGCTGGACTCAAGCACTGCTCTCACCTCAGCCTCCAGAGTAGCTGGGACTACAGGCGGGCCACCATGCACTAATTTATTTTTATGTTGTAGAGATGTGGTTTTGCTTTGTTGCCCAGGAAGCTGTTGAACTCCTGGCTTCAAGCAATCCTCCCACATTGGCCTCCAAAAAGCCTCTGTGACCCACTAATTTTGTAAATTTCAAATAGTGTAATATTAAATATTAATGAAGTCACACTTTCTGTATGTAATCTGAAGTAATTCAAGTAACTCAAATAATTTTTTAAGAATCGCATGATTTGGCCAGGCACGGTGGCTCAAGCCTGTAATCCCAGCACTTTGGGAGGCCGAGGCAGGTGGATCACGAGGTCAAGAGATCGAGACCATCCTGGTCAACATGGTGAAACCCCGTCTCTACTAAAAATACAAAAAATTAGCTGGGCATGGTGGTGCATGCCTGTAATCCCAGCTACTCAGGAGGCTGAGGCAGGAGAATTGCCTGAAACCAGGAGGCGGAGGTTGCGGTGAGCCGAGATCACGCCATTGCACTCCAGCCTGGGTAACATGAGTGAAACTCCGTCTCAAAAAAAAAAAAAAAAAGAATCGCATGATTTAAAATCATGCAAATTGATCTGTATCCCTATTTATAGTAATGTCAACAATGATCCCACTTTTTAGCTGATAAAAATAAATATTTACTCTTATTTTTTAGAATTAGTTTTAATTCTGCTATTTTAATATTGCATAAATATGTTTTTAATACATTCATTTAATAAAATGCAACTATCATTAAATTTGCTTTCCACAATACTTCTTGAGGAAGGAGTCTGAGTTGGGCATTTGTAGATTTCTGTATGATTCTGGCCATTGTGCTATTCAGTATAACCCTTATATTACACACACACACACACACACACACACACACACACAAATGCACACAACTCCAAAATGCTTGGTTATTGCCTCATGAATCATTGAATTTATATGAAATTTGAAACCCCATTGCTAAAAATGTCTTAGCACATCTGTGCGTTTTAATGTGACTGGTTTTCATACTAAAAATTTTATTTTATACGTTTGGGATCATAATTGTTTACCTTTTCTTTTCCTTCTAAAATATAGACTTTATTTTAAAGCAGCTGTAGGTTCACAGAAAAACTGAGCAGAAGGTGCAGAGATACCCCAGAGGTTCCCAACCCCCAGGCCATGGACTGGTACCAGTTGGTGGCCTGTTAGGAACCAGGCCACACAGTGGGTGAGCCAGCGTTACCAACTGAGCCCCGCCTTCCGTCAGATCAGTGGTGGCATTAGACCTCATAGGAGTGCAAACCCTATTGTTAACTGTGCATGCAAGAGATCTATGGCTGCATGTTCCTTATGAGAATCTAGTTAATGCTTGTTGATCTGACGTGGAACAGTTTCACAGCTTCATCCCCGAATCATGCCCCATTTCCCCCACTATCTGTGGAAAATTGTTTTCCATAAAACTGGTCCCTGGTGCCAAATAGGTTGGGGACTGCTGCCAGACACACTCTGCCCCCACACATGCATAGCCTCCTCCATTAGCAACATCTTCCACAGGAGTGGCACATTTGCTACAATTTATGAACTTACATTGGCACATCATTATCATCCAAAGTCCATAGTTTACATTGACTCTCACTCTTGGTGTTGTACATTCTGTGGATTTGGACAAATGCATAATGATATTTTTATCATTGTGGCATCAAACAGAATAGTTTTATTGACCTAAAAATCCTCTGTGCTCTGTGATGGACATTTTCATGATCATCACTGGTTCAGATTCCCTGTGCTTACTGATTCCCAGTCTGCATTTTAAATTATTTTCTCCTTGAACTTTCTTCACCTCTTCCCCAAACTAAACATGCATAGACATCTGTTGCATATGATATACCTTAAATAAACACTTATGGGCTATAAGGAGGAAATATATCCCTTCTTAGAGAGTTAAAAACCAAAGTTAAGTGTTACAATTTCTTATCCTAAGAGTTATCTTAGCAATCCAATCTCAGCCTCTCTCATTCTGGAGAAAGGAAAATATCCTCCAATTATCATATGAAAAGAAATTCACCCATAGCTCTATATTAGAATCTCCTGAATCATTTAGGGGCTGAGAAAAACAAAAAGTGCTTTCCATATAATAGGATCCGTTCTTTTAAATAAATTAATTATAAATACAACCACAATGTTTTCTTATGTATTTATATACCATGTATAAGACATTGAGTATATATCAAGATTATTCAAATTCTGTCAGTAACTCAGCAAGGTAAGTATTATTACTTCTACATTGTGGATGAGAAGAATAAGGCAGGAAATGTTAGATACTTTACCCATTTATAAAGTTTGAAATACTAGCTTCAAAGTACCAAGTCTGGGATTTGGGTTTAGGGTTCTTTGCACCAAACTGTACTGTATCAATTAATTAATGTTTTGCCTTTTTCCTCCAATTAAAATGTAAACTCACTGATGCAGGTAGCATGGATAGAAATATTTTCACAGATTTCGTACTGTTTAGAGCCATGAGGTCACTGCTGACCCTTTTCCTCTGGGAGAGTTTCTGCTAGGAGATGGCGAATCCAGTGGAGGACGCAGTACCCACAGCTGCTTCCACATTGTCTCAACTGTGTTGTTCTTCCTAGGGTTTCTCTCCTAAGCTCACACTTTGCTTTGCGAGGAAGGGTGAGCGGAAAGGACTGGGAATTTCTGAAGACATTGGCGCTGTTTTTTATCGGCATGTTTCCTAGAAACATCCTGCGGGTGTATTCACTGTACTGTCTCCTTCACGCCAGGATGGCACAGGGAAAGCTACATGGTTCTCTGGCAAAGCCTCACTCAGGAGGTGAGGAAGACTGCGCCTATATTCAGGGCTTCTAGATATGTCTGTGGCCTCTACTCCCATCCCTTCTTCCATTGTCACTAACCCTATGTGAGGAGTAAGTATTTGATCCATTTTACATACCCACATTACTGTCTTATTGTAATGTTTATCTGACTTCCATTTCTTTTCCTGCCTAAATAATTTTTATTCCCTCAAGGTGAGGATGGGAGAGGAAGGCTTCTACTGTCACCGTTCTTCATAAAATTAAAGTTTTAAGAATGAATTTTTACTTTTGATATTTTTGAGATTCAAATTTCCTTTATCCTAACTTATTTTTCTGTCACACTTTTAAAAGCCATATTGAAATAGGTACAGACTTGTTTTTTAGTTTCAAAATTTTTGCTATAACAATTCTGAGCCAAGGGCAGAGTACGGTATCCAGTAACTTCATTGTTGCCTGAATTGGGGGTGGTGGCAGTCCCAAGGATGGGAACACAAGGAAGAAAGAAACAGTAACATCAGCTAAGAAATCAACACATTATCAGGCTATACTGTACTTGGTTGTTTCTGTGTTACTGGACATGAAATATGATCTGGGAAAGGAGATTAAATTGGCTTGAAACATAAGAGTCTCCTAATTCTTAGCCATACTTTCAGTCAGCCCTGGATGAAAGATCGAAAATTTTGACATAGGTTTCATAAAGGGAATTTATTGCTTTCATGGAGATTTTAGATCGAGGTTACTGAGGAATTAGGTAGCTGGGTGGCTTACGCCAGGCATCTCTTAGAAAGTAACATTTGAGAAAAGAAAAAAAAATCAGGAGGTCAAGGAAAGAATGCAAAAGGCATTTGTGAGCTCTGAGGAGATAAAGCAGTTTAAAACCCAGAGAAAAGGTGAGAGGAGAAACATTTAGAGGAGAAAAGGGTTATGATACATCGGGCCAGGGAATAGTGCTAGGTCATGTAGCAGCAGGTCCACTTCTGCTCCTGTAGATGGCGATGCACCTGCAACAGGACAGACATGAGATGGATGGCTCCGAGGGGACTCCTGTGTCATCATGCCACTCCCCAATTCCCCTGCTACTTTCAACCACATTTGTTTCCACAACCTCCTCCCACTTTCTTTCCTCTTATACTGCGGCTTCAGCTGTAACCAATCTCAATCTTACCTTCCCTTCCAGGATGGGATTCACAAGGGTCCTTGGCGCCTGGAAGCACCAACTGTACGCAGGCCTCGGATGATCAAGACAGTGCCCACCACAATGCCCACGAGGCCCACAGACAACCCCAGGGCGCAGACCACAGTCTCTGTGAGCTCTGACATAGGGGCTGGAATCTCAGGCTCTGTGGAAGTGAAGTTGTTGAGGTCAGAATGCAGAGTGTCCTCATGTGCATGTGTGTGTGTGGAATGGGATGGGGTGCAGGATTGGCTTTGCAGAGACTCAAGGCCCCAGGCTTAGGGAGGAGAGTGAAATCTATCATTAATACCCATGAACCCATGAAGTGGCAGGTCTGCTTCCACTCTGTGGAGTGTAGTTTCATTTTCAATAAATCTCTGCTTTCATTGCGCTAATCTTTCAAAAAAAAAAAAAAAGAGAGAGAGAGAGAGAAAAGAATCCCATGAAGTGTGGAAAACAAGTTTTGGGATATAGGAGTAAAAGGCAGGAAGTTCTGAACTTGACAAACAGGAGAGCATCTAACAGTGGTGGAACGCATACTTACCCCAGTGTTTCAGGAGAGGCTCCTCCAGGCCCCAGTGCTCCACCTTGCAGTCATAAATCTCATCAGCAGAAGGGAGGAAGGTGAGGTAACTGATCTTGAAGAAGGAATGATCAGTCTTGGAGAGGAAGCTGGTCTCAGAAACACCGTCTGTGACCGAGTGCCCATTGCTCAACCATGTGATGTTGACCACGGGAGGAAAGATGTTGTCCACAAGGCAGATGAGGGTGTTGGGCTGACCCAGCGCCACGGGAGACTTGGAAAACACTGTGACCTCAGGAACCTCTGTGGTGAGGAAGCAGCATTGATGTGAAGTGTGAATAGCTCTGCCTTGAGGTTCTGCACTATGTCCTGGAAGAGCCCTCCTACCAGCGAATTCCTCTGCTGCTGGTCAAAGAGGTCTTATTTAACTTTCGCTTGGGAGCAATGACACATTGCTTCTGCTTCATTCTTGTTCCCTTCTCTCTGTGGGCATGTTCAATAAGGTAGGAGGTTGATGAGACCTTTCCTAGAAGGATTTAATGAATGCATAGTGGAAAAACCCTTGTATTACATGGGAATATGTGATTTTAGAGAAGGGAGATGATAAAATTTCAGCAATTGCCATGAAGAGATCTGGAAACCTCTTGGAAAGAAAATAATGAAACTTGATATGAAGGGATATATTCAGTAAAGAGAGGCAGAATGGTGGCACATACCATTGGTAGCAGCGGTAGAGTTGGAGCGTTTAATCATGATGTCCAAGTTGTGTTTTGCCGTAGCGATGTTTGTCAGTGCGCCCTGCGGGTCAAAACTTGTAAATTTGCTGAACATAGGCAACCGCCAGACAGTCTCCTTTCTTCCTAGGTCCACGTAGAACTCCTCATCTCCATCAAATTCATGGGTGTACTGGCCAGAGGGACCGTACAACTGGTACAAGTTTATACCATAAGAGGCAACGTGGTCAGCTGGTGAGTGAAGGTGACAAGCAGGAAGGTGGAGAAGAGAGGAAGAAAGAACCTTAATACAAAAATGATGGAAGAAGCTGACTTTCAAATATTATGGACTTCATCTTTGGCACAGCCTGTGGACATTTCCAGCCCCTGCTTCCTCTCCTTTTTGTGTTGGTAGTTGTCCGGTTAAAATTGCACTTTTTTCCCACTATAATGTGTGCTACAAAAGGGCAGAATAACACATGTCCAATTTTTACTATTTCCTGAGTGCCTGCCACTTCATGTACTTGTGATTAAATAATGTAATTGAACAAAAGAAGGAATGAATACGTTATCATAGTATGTAGCTTTCTTAGTCAGATATTTGGTTAATTCCCTCTGCTTCCTAAGATTCATCTTTCACTTAATTCTTTCATCAGTTAATAAATTGATTATACCTCCCTTTCTCTCAGGATTGGCTCAGAACAGGACACTCTGTTTTCTTTTTGATTTTTTATAAATGAAAAGTATGCAGGATGTTATTAATTAAAATAATTTCTGCTAACAATTGTAGAGTTTAAGAAAGCGTATTACAAGAACAGTAATAACATTACAAAAAATATAGTAAGTAAACAATGCTTCCTTCTAAGATCTCTGTTTTGTTCATAGTAATGTTCCTTGGAGGAGAGTAATTGATTTCTTCTGAAATGAAAATTGGAAGCTCTACTAGTTTTTGAATTTCTGTCATTCCCCCACTTTTTTTTCCCTTTGAAGGGGGTTACTGAATTTCTACAGAGTTCTGACGTGATGCTGATATTCACTTGAGGACTAAGGTAAATTAAGCCCTTTTTCCTCTAACGGGCAGTGTGCTTGTCTGAGGATGCCAGAGCAGAAAGGCAGCCTTGTAGCACAACTGCAGCCAAATGAGCCTAAGTGGACATTCTTGTCAAGACATGTGTAAGCCTTTTACCATTGTATCTTTCCTTCCTTCCCCACATTCTGAGCATCTGCAAGGGTCAGACAAGCAGGGGATGTGTAAAACATCAGTCAGGCATTGTCTACCATCAAGAAACCTACTGAATAGTGGGAGAGTCAGGTAGGTAAGGGAGCAAATACAATGTACTGTGGTGAGTTCTGTGAGGAGGATATCAACAGCCTTACCGTCCAACATCCTTCACAAGTATCTGTCAAGCAAACCAAACTACATTGTTCTTTCACATTCCCTGGCCTTTGCAGTGGTCTGTTGTTTTTCTCCCTGAAGTGAAATTATCTTTTAGGACTTCCTGGAGAAATCCTAAAATTCATCCTTGAAGTCTCTGCTTAGTTAACAATTTTGTAGCTAAGTCCTCCCATCAACATGCTTTTGACCACGTTATGACCTCCAACCCCTCCATCTCAGTGTCTGGCTCTCCAAGTTTGTCTGTTCCTCTTCCAGCTCACCTTCTTCCCTATCCACTAATACCACCTTGGTTGGTCTTAATAGGCTACCAACAAAGGCTCCTTATTCTTGCAATAAACCTTGACTCCTTGTTCACACATGAATATATGCAGAATATATACAATCCTTCTTTTCATCTGGTACTTGTCTTGGATGCCGAGTTTTGCTGGAGGACATCACCCTGCTGGCTCAGAAGGAACCAAGTCACTTATACAGTTTCCACCTCTGCTGGGGCCACTGCCCTCTCAGCAATGGCCTTCTGCTTTCCTGCACCCCATACTGTTTCCATCACTAGTCTTAGCACTGTCAGCAGGGAAGACAGCCTGAATTTTCATCTTTGAATCCTTAAAACTTAGTTCACTGTGTGCTCAAACATGTGTATTAAATGACAGTTGCTATATTAGAGGACTGCATAGATTTTGGGGAAGACTGACAGGCACACAGGTAGCAGAGCCATATGAAGACCAGGATCAGCCATGACGGGGGCTGCGTTCTGAATTGTGAGCCCTGAGCACTCTTGCTTTTGTGGGTCCCTTCCTCCATAAAAATATGGAAAATTATGTTTTATGACTGAATTGGTATAAAACAATATAATTCAGGCTGAATTAGAAGTTAAAACATTTTCTTAGGCTCTGAAGTTTCTTTTTTTTCTGACTTTAAAAGGAGTTAAAACATTCTCTTGTAGCTTTACAGGATGGAGGGTTCCCTGCACTGCCCACGCTGTGCCTAATGGATGAGCCGAGCCTGACCAGGGCACTCTGGTGCGAGGCTGAAGAAAGGAAATTTGGAACGAAGAAGCCAAGTGCTCTGGAGAAGCAGGTAATCAGTGGAGTAACCACGGTAAATAAGGTTGTGGAAGTTTAGAGTAGCTTCCTGTTCAATTCCCCTTTTAACTATCGGACTTTTCAACTTTTGTTTTACAAACCCACTGTCCATGATTATAAAGGAGCAGAGAGTCAGAGATGGATCCTGAAAGGGCAAAGGGAGAAAGGAATGCATGAAGAGAGGTGGAAAGAGATGGACGACAAAAGACCAAATAATTAATCTGTGCTTCCTTCCTTCCCCTCCCTCCCTCCCTCCCTCTCCCTCCCCTTCCTTCCTTTCTCTCTTTCTCTTTCTCTCTTTCTCTTTCTTTCTCTTTCTCCTTTCTTTCTTTACCTCTTTCTTTCTTCCTTCCTTCCTTTCTTTCTCCTTTCCTTCCTTCTTTCTTTCTTCTTTCTTTCTTTCGTTCTTCTTTCTTTCTTTCTTTCTTTCGTTCTTCTTTTTCTTTCTTCTTTCTTCTTTCTTTCTTTCTTTTCTTTCTTCTTTTTTTCTTTTTCTTTCTTTCTTACTCCTTTCTTCCTTTCTGTCTTTCTTCCCTTCCTTTCTCTTTTTCTTTCCTCTCTCTGAGACAGGGTCTCTCTCTGTCACCCAGGCTGGGGTGCAGTGGTGCCATAATGGTTCACTGCAGCCTCCACCTCCTAGACTCAAGCAGTCCTTCCACTGCAGCCTTCTGAGTAGCTGGGACCACAGGTATGCAGCACTATGCCTGGCTTATTTTTATTTTTATTTTTGTTTGTAGAGATGAGGCCTTGCTACGTTGCCCAGGCTGGTCTCAAACTCCTAGGCTCAAATGAACCTCCTGCCCCGGCCTCCCAAGTGCTGGGATTACAGGTGTGAGCCACCATGTCTGGCCTACTTTTCTTTTTATAGGACTTTATTAGATGAGGTGAAGAACAGGTAATTTGGGTTGATAATTTAAGAATTACATGATTTAATTTACCAAGTTTTTCTATCATAAATTCTCAATTTTAAAATAAAAGATTCCTTATTTTGCTAAAGAAAAGATATGTGAGGCTATACCTACTAGAAATATGTAAAAAAATTGACATTCATGTTTTCACTATTTACAAAGCTTATCTACATGCCAATTTTATTTGATTATTTGCGAGGTGACACGGATGAGGCAGCTGAGAGTAAGTGAGGACCATGTGGTGAGATGATTGCTGAAGGCATCCAGCCTGCTGGACTCCTCTACCCACTCCCCTCCTGTGCCAGTTCCTATGTGGAAATGTGAGCAAGTCTGAGAGAAAGAAAAGGGCATCCTTCTTAATATCTATAGAGTATATAATTAATGAAACTATTTACCCCAAGTTCTACTACAGGAGTCATATGAAAAGCTTCAAAGCTGTTCAGAGAAATTTGAGAGTGACATTTCACAAATTTTTGGTAATAAAAAATTCTCCACAATGGAAACCTCACTAATCTTTGAGGCAATCATGATGCAATGACATAGAGACCCCCAGGCTGTAGTCACTGAATATGATATAAACAGAATAGCATCCTTAGCGAGAATGCCAACAGCATAGATAACAAATAGAGTAGGCTGGGGCTCTGGTTTCCTGAAGGAAAAACAGCCATAATTTTAAAATCTCTTAATACTGAAGGGGCCCTTGGGAAATCTCTACAATTTCCCTGCAAACTGTTTTCTCTCCATTTCTTCAATTTCCTGTTTTTCAGCTCCAGAAAATATCCGTCACCCATGCACTCACCCACAATGTCTTCACCTCCACAGGGGCTCATCGCAGTGGTCAGGACGAGGGCCCCCAGCATCAGAGCTTTGTTTAGGATCATCCTCTTCGCAAGGCAGCCTCAGCAATTGCTGTTCTGAGTTGTAGAGTAACTGTGAGAACCTACAGACAAGGAAATCTGAAGACATCCAAACCAAACCCTGCCGGATCAGCTTTCGGCCAATTAGAAAAATCCCCAGTGGTGACACCTCAGTTACTAGTTGAAGAGTTTGTATTAACAGCCCTGAAAGAAGACAGGGAAATCCCCTGGTTGTGATGCAGCCTCCACTCAGAGTGGACTTGAGGAAATGTTCTGTGAATAGAGGGAGGACACTAAATTGGAATCTTCTCCGGTGTGTGCATGTCTGCCAGTGGCAAGAGGGGTGGGCATTTCTGAGCAGCCTCATGGATAGATGAGGTCATCAATTACATGGAATCCTTCAGGATTTTCTGGGTTATAGCCTCCAGGAATTTTTCCCTGAGTTGATTTCCCTCCCTGGCAGTCCCCATTCCCTCCACTTTCTCTGGCTTCTGTATGTGGGTTAGCTGTTTTTCTTTCTGCTTCCATAGTGCCTATGGAATTCTCCAAATATTAAGTTGACCACACCTACCTAGTGATCTCTGCTGATGATAGGCAAGCAATACCTTTGCCTTTTCTACTTGTATAAATCCAGCTGGGTAAGCTCTTCTCAAGCTCTCAAAAGATTCAGGTGTTTTTGGCCAGGGCAATAAAAAGAGGTTATAATGTCAGATGGTGCTCTCTGCAGTAACTGTAGGAGATTTTATACAGGTTTTCTTTGCGTTGAGTAATCCTTATGTTCTGTGTTTTGGTACTGTTTGAGTATGTTTAAAGGAAATTTAGGGACATTGATTACATTTAAAAGCTTTGCCTGGGCCAGAACGGTGGCTAAAGCCTGTAATCCCAGCACTTTGGGAGGCTGAAGCAGGCAATCATGAAGTCAGGAGATTGAGTCCATCCTGGCTAACATGGGGAAACCCTGTCTCTACTAAAAATACAAAAATTAGACGGGCGTGGTGGCACGAGCCTGTAGTCTCAGCTACTTAGGAGGCTGAGGCAGGAGAATTGCTTGAACCTGGGAGGCGGAGATTGCAGTGAGCCAAGATCATGCCACTGCACTCAGATTGGTCTCAAAAAAAAAAAAAAAAAAAAGCTTTCGTTGGCTCAATTATTCTAAGAATTTTTTTAAATTTAGAATGTCAAGTCAAAAGTTAAGCAGAGAATAATAAGGATTGCATTGACTTAGAGAGATGGTTTTCTTGTCTTAAACTACCAGATCTTTTAAAATTTGTTATCCTACCACTTGCAAGGTACTAGAGATCGAGCTAAAGTTAGTCATTAAAAGGAAATCTATTATTTTCTTCAGGTGAATATATTTTCTATATGTGATAGAAATCATGAGTTAATGGAAGTTCTATTTAGAATCACTCTGTCCTTGATAAACGGCCTTCTGAGAGTCTCAGCACTATGTTTTACCTCCCAGTGGCAGAGACTGTAAAATAAAAAAAGGTGAAACAAAAAAAAGTGTTCTGACCCCTGAGAGCTGTCTGGATGCAATTAATAAGGCCTTGGGGTTTCTAGGAGCTAGCCTGGCACTCCCAGATGGTTATGGTTCTCCTGTTGAAGATAAAGGATTTCGTAGAATCACACAGGTACTCTGTGAGCACGATGGATTGAGACGGAACACCAGAATGCTCAGTCATCATGTCTGAAGCCAGACAAAACATGAATGCTGTCCAAACCACAAAAATAACCAGGCACATCTCTCTTGACAGTGGTTGTTACATCTTGACTAATTACATCTGTAGCCTCAGGATAGTCTTTCGTCCCTCTAGGTAGGATTTATGAAGCTACCCAATTGCCACCCAACCCTCCACTTTCTGTCAGAATCCAATTAAAAGCAAAATCCCTCTTTCTTAAATCCTCCCCCAAATCACCTAAAACAAGCACGAAACTTACAATTGATTAATCGTCAATTTTACGTGTCAGCTAGACTGTGATCCCCAGTTATTCAATCAAATACTCAGAATCTAGATGTTGCTGTGAAGAATTTTGTAGATGTCATTGAAGTTCATAATCAGTTGACGTTAATAATTTATCCTAGAAAAAATGGGTGAGCTTAATCTAAGCTGTTGAAAAGCCTTAAGAGCAGAGCTGAAATTTCTCTGAGGAAACAGAAATTCCCCTCTGGGCAGCATGTCAGCCTGTGCTGAGAGTTCCAGCCTGCCCTTCCTGACAACTACCTCCCAGTGGATCTTGGACTTGCCTAGCTCACCCCTACAGTTGCAATAATTAATTCCTTGCATCATTCTCTTAATATATATATTCTCCTGGTTCTACTTCTTTGGTTCCAACAGTCTCTTACTCAGGGGCTGCACAATCCCCATGGTGAGTTTTATCCATCATTGCAATAAACAGTAAAGCCAACTTGTTCATTCAAGGGTATGCTCCTTCCAGTCTTTGGTTGGAGGCATTGATGGTAACTCCTTAGGCAGTTGTGAGGAATGTACATATACTGCACTTAGAATGAAAAATTCCTAGGACTCTTTACATATACTTGTCATATTTTAATATCCTTTTCATTTTCCATGGAGAACATTAAAGCCCAGAGAGTTGAAGGCCTTTTTCCAGGGTCACACAGCTGGTAAGTAGTACAGATGCAATGCTGTGGGGCAAGCCTTGGGTCCTTGTGAGAGGTGATGGCGAGGGTCTCCGTCTGTGTGGATTCAGAATCCAGTGCCTTAACATGATTAGGAGAGATATTTGACCCTATAGGTGGCTTTACTCTTTCTAGCTCCTGCCATTGTGAATGAAGAGGGTTTTTGAGGTCCCTTTTGAGATACGCTGCCTTTCACTCAATATCTTTCTTGCTGTGTAGTGAATAGCATGTTTTTATCTTTTTTCCTGTATCCAGACTTATCTGCTTTGTATCTCATGGAAATTTCTTAGGATTTTGGCAAATGAACAAAATGTTTTGGGATGGTACTCAAGAATTTCACCTATTAGTATTATACTTTAAATAACTCAACTCCAGTTAAGAAGTTAGGGTGTTAAATGTGGGATTAGGATTGTATCTTGGATGGGAAGTTGACGGTGCTGTTTCAGATCTCACATCCTGTGGGGTGAAGGGAAAGTCTGAACAAGGCAAAGTCATTGAGGAGACAATAGACGCCCTTTCTATCTTTAACCTAGTTTTGTCTCTCTCCTCTTCCTGCTTCATCCAGCCATAACACAGTGGACCTTGTTCCATTTGCTTCTGTCTTCAGGTCATAATTTTAATGTAAGGTAAAATAATAAGTAAATGAAACTCAGAAGAACAGTATACCATTTTAACAAAAGCTAATTTGTTACCTTTTCTAGTAGAAAGAGAAATGATCCTCTTCATAAATTAAGAGTGGGAATAAAATTTGGAGTTCAAAATAGTACTTTGTCCAATAACTTTCTTAGAAAGCACTTATTGACATGCCATTGATTCATAACTAAAATAGCAAAGGGATGTGCCATTATAATTAGCCTCATTAAGAGCCCTCTAAGAAATTAGGTAGGATGTATGTTAGTTCTAATAAACAGTTATAACATTCTCTAAGATTCTGTGTATTTTCAAATTCTTTAAGTCTGACTTTACGCACCGGTGAAGTTTTACTCTGAAGGCCACAACTTCTATCTTGCAGTAGTTAAAGGTGATTCACAATAACAGCGTTTAGAGTAGCAAAGTAAAAAGAATATAGATTTTGTAATAAGATAAACATGTATTCCGTGCTGCTTTTTATTTTATCAGCTGCATCACCTTGGCCACCCACTCAAAATACCCAAGCTGTTTTTTCATTTTCTATAAACCAGAAGAAAAATTATTAGATGATGGCTAATACAGTAAAATGAAATGATAGATGAGTACAAATTATAAAGTTAAATACAGTCCAGTGTCTGACACATAGCAACTGTTCCCAAGCAGAAGTTGCTATATAAAGACAAATATTAATAATGGTAATGATAATAACATCATGTCTTGGGCTGGGAAAGCCTATCAGTTTTTCTTTATTCATTTAACCTTCTCCCTGTGGCATTCCAGGCATGTGGGAGCCTGTGAGTCACAGAAGCACTAAGACCTTTTTGAAAAACAGAATTTCTTTGAAGATTGTTATCTGTCAGATTTTTTTATGTAACAAAGTACTCCAAAACTGCATGACTTCAAATAATGTTTTAGTATCTCCTCATGATTCTGTAAGACAGCAAATTGTGCTAGACCCACCTGGGTGGTCTTTATGTGCTGGGCAGGTTCAGCTTTTCTCAGATGGGCTCCCTCACATCTGTGTAGCATCAATAGGTTTAGCAGGGATAGGGGGCCTCTCTCCATCCATGTGGGCTCGTTATTCGGCAGGCTGGCTGAGACTTATCACAGGTATTGGAAAGCTCCCCTGTGCAAGATAGAAATAGCAGGTGTCTTCAGCTGAAACTTAAAACTCACAACACTTCTACCATATTTTATTACTCAAAGCAAGTCATAGTACTACCTCACATCAAGAGGTGGGTTAATAGACTGCATTTCTTGACAGAATGAACTACAAAGAATTTGTAGCTATTTTTGCAGCTTATCACAGATATTGTCTGGCTTTTGGCAATATGTAAATGAATTTGGTGTGTGAGCATTGGAGAGCCCCCATATTTGAAATAAATGCCACCCACTCACCTGTGAGTCAAGATCTTATCTTTACTAATCTGCATTGAAAACACAGTGAAGCTTTCTCAAGGGAGACTTGAACTAAGAACTGTTGAATTTCAATATGAATAAGGTGCTATGATTTATTCATATAAAAAATTTATGGAGTTTTTTGGATGAAAATACAGAAACGTGGAGAATTGTAAGTAATCTTTTATGATTGCTAAGCTCACATTCTGACACAAAGTCCTGTATGCTGTCATCCAGTGAAATGGTCTCTCACAATAATAAAATTAATGAAGCAGAGGAAACTTATGAAAACAATTGTTTGTTATTTAATATCATTTCCACCAATTATTTGTCAACAATAACTCCTATGTGTATGAACTAGTTGTATTAAATAACTCACTTGAATAAACTGTACAATAAAAATAATATGAGGAAAGATTGTTTTGTAATGACCTTCTACTGAAAAACATGCAAAATTACCTCCATGTCCAGATCTACCTTCCCCATGGCTCC